ATTTACAAAAATTTAATATTTACAGAGGAGATTCGCTCATACAGCAACAAGTATTATTAGACAAAATATAAGTAGATATTAACACAAAAAATGCGATTTCTTTAATTATTATTTAAAGACACTTTTGGTCCAGTTAATTGAGGAGATTTATTAAAAAATGACAAACATAACTTACTCTACCAATAAAATTGTTAATCTTTGTGCATTATTAGTAAAAAAAAACATTAAATAAATAATTTTACGGCAGTGAAAACAGATATTTTAGCAAACAAGAAAACGTTAGCAATAATACTAATACGTGTTTAGTAATACTGTTAAAATCAAATACTTACAACAAGAAAGGAGGTAACACTTTCAAGATAAGTAATAATTTATAATTTTTAATCATTTCACTTATCGACTTTTTTTAGTATTTTTCACAAATGTACGAATAAACAATAAACAAGCACATAGGTATTTGTATAACGATACTAACAGTAGGTACTAACAGCTGTTTCTTTCTAAAATTCTATTTATTCATGAATGATAAAATTCATTCATCTGATTATACAAATTATTACATTTTATTGCTAGAACATTTATTTCTTCATTTCGTAATCAAAACTACCTATAACATTGCTATAAACAATAATTATCAGGTGCATATATAAGGAGTAATGCAACTCATATATCCTCCCTTGTACGACACTAAATAGTTGTTTTTAGTAAGTGGAGGTGAAGATAAAAAATCGAAGCTAATGCAATCTAACCTAACAGAATTCTAATTTAATCAAACATAAAATTATTTGGGTTCTCACATGCATACAATTATAATTTTTAATCTTCACCTCTGTCCTTATTTAACTTGTTTAGTGTTTTACAACCTCGTCCTATCCTTTTCCCTGCGTACATGAGGTGATCCCATCAGCCGCACAATTCGAATATTTAAGCTATTTACACACCTGATTCTATTATTTATTTAGTGAGTATCTACCTTTTGTATAAATGAAGTACACTCAAGAAAATATTATACAATGTGTATGACTTTGATTTGAAATATGCGTCAAAAAAATACAAATACAATACGCACTTAGAGTCGACATTGTTTACTAATTGTTACAACTACAACATGTATATAAAAAACTGCAACAGCCCCAAATGATAGCAGCCCTAACATATGACACCTTAATCCTCGTATTTTGTTGGTAATAAATATCTAAAACAATTTTTTTTATAACAGTGACTAGACAATTAAAGCAGCAACGATGTTATTACAACTCGTACCACATATAGATTTGTGAAAATAAAGAAAAGTAATAAAAAAGGGTAGCGCGAAAATATGTGATTTTTTGATTGATTTAACGAATTCTAAATCAAAAAGGAACAACCTCGCAATGTAAAACATATTTTTAGAATTTTCAGGAACATTTATATACTCTTGGCCAGTAATTTATTAAAACTACCATTATGCCTTATGTGGTTTCAATCTTTCGATATTATCTNACTAATTATTTAAAAAAATTAATTCGTTATACTTATTCTGTTAATTCATAACATTTAGAATCACTCCAATAGTTAACTAAATACAATTATTTTGGTAGGCACAATTTGTTTGTATTTTACCATTATTACCGATATATTTCATATTGAGTAAATATAAGTACTAACTCTTTTAATTCAGATTATAATAGATTCTTATGCATTTCTAGGAAAATCTCTCTCACTCCTAAATCTTATAAATTATTATACTAAGCGTAAGAAACAAATATTAATAAATAAAAAGTTTGTTGGACAGCATTAAACTCGTTGCTATTGCGACCATTTTTATACTCTATCGACCCTAGACCTTTGATTAACTGATAATTTTATTATCTCGCAAAACAACTAATATATCTACGACCCTGTATGCATTTTGCAGGTTCAATTAAAAACAGTCTTTAAATGTTGTTCAATAGAGAAAAAAGTAACTTGTAGTTAAAAAATAAGCAAAAGCTAAATAAAGGCATTCGTATGTAATAAAATGTGCGCAAATTTACTACTAATGACTATGTTCTCTTATGATACAATAAGCACAATTTGCAATAATTTAATTTTTGCCTCGTTAATTTGATTACAACAAGAACAATTACTGTACATACATTAATATGTATATCGGGTACTATTCCTCAGTGACTTAGAAAGAAAAAATTATATAGGAAACCAAGAAAATCATAAATTCACGCTCGTCAAAAAATAAGAAAATTCCTAATACTTTACTCCTACACGTGCTTTTAAATTTTTTTGGCATCCTTGCATACTTTCAAACTAACATTGTCGTGAAACGTCCTGTATGTATAATTAATAAATGTCATCATTGTCATTAAATTAATAGCAAAAAGTTATTTGTTTTAATAAATAAACCATACGCCACCTAAATTTTTATCATACTGAATAAATACTAGATGCTCATTAACTCATTAATTAAACCTAAGGTATCCGTTTAAAAAAATGTAAAATTGAAACCTAATTAACTATATATCGTAGCTAAAATGGCCAATGTTTCGGAATCACTATTTTCAACCTAAGTCTTTTAAAAGTTTTCAGTTTTGTCTCTACCATAGTCCATAAAAGAAATCAAAAGCAAACTAAATGTGTTTGTTGCAAGTTATAAATACCGGAAACAATTCCGAACATTTTAATACATCGTTATCAAAACTTTAATATCGAAGCAACCCTATGTGCAATTAATATTAGGACAATTTCGTCCGGTAACATTAAACAATAAAAAAAAAAACGCTTTTAACTAAATGTTACGTTTGCGTCTAAAAACAAGAGCTAAAATACTTCTAAGTCGCCACCATTTACTTAAACGCCTCGGTTTTCTACTTGAACCGTCTGTAAGCCCTAATTTCTGTCTCTCTTTGGCTCTAATTTCTCTGACTAGAGTGTGAAACGCGTCATCGACGAATGTCCTCAATGCCGCTGACGTTTCATAAAAAGGGCATCCAAATTGTTTCGCTAACGTCTTACCCTCCTCTGTAGACACTTTTCTTTGCATTTGCAAATCGAATTTGTTACCTATAAGAACGAGAGGTATGTCTTCGTTGGCACGAACTTTCTGAATCAATTTTCTGTATTCAAGTGCTTCTTGGAAGCTGTGTCGATCAGTCACGCTGTAACAAATTAAAAAACCTTCTCCACAACGCATATACTGATCACGCATTGCTGTAAACTCAACCTGAAATAAACCAAAATACTGGTTACTTAAAAATTAATTATTGGTTTACTCAGTTTATTTTTATCTATTTTCAGAAATATAAATTGTTAAAAGCAAGTTCGAATATCAAATATCTATTATAATTCCCGTTTTTCGTTAATATTGTATTAGAATGAAATGTTTGAACTATTCAGGTGAAAAACTATTTTTATTACGTTTTGCTCAACAGTTTGACGGCTTATTTACAGTAATTGTAAAGTTAAAACATAGTGACTTCAATCAGCCTTTCTAAATCACTATCCAGATAATGTTACCAAAAAGTTGAAATAACCATATTTTTGATATCTTTGAAAGGTCACTAAGCTGTTGGCAGAAATGCAGTCAATATATATATATAAAAAAAAATATTTTACCTGAATCAAACCTTTCGTTATATTAAGTACTATATTTATTATTGTTTACCTGTCCAGCTGTATCCAATATATCCAATAATGCAGGTTCACCATCTATTACAGCTTGCTGTTGGTAAGAATCCTCTAATAAAAATATAAAGATTTTTAATAAAAAGCTAATTTAAGTATTAAGATATGCATTTACATTTCAGAATCTGTTAATATAACTTACCAATGGTAGGATCATGGTAATCGAGAAAACTATGGCTAACAAACTGAAGGGTAACTGCTGTAATAAACCAAATTATTCTCTGTTAAAATTAGAATTATACGCACATAGACCACCTATTAAAATTAACAACTAGAAGTATGCATAATATTTAACAGTGACGTATTGTAGGTAAGAAATTTGCCTATGATTTTAAACAAAGCAGACGGCCCTTACCTGATTTCCCAACACCTCCATCACCAAGTACCACAATTTTGTACACTCTTACTCCACCTCTGGTAGTGTGTAAGCTGTTTTCTGGTGCTATCTTTTGACTTTCAGATCCAGAATCTTTGCCATTTCGTCTAGAATCTTGCCTCAAAAGTTTGTTCTTCTTTTTCTGCCCACTACAACCCGGCGTCATTTCTCCAGCCATGAGGCTTTTATAGGTCTCAATAGCTCCTCATAAACGTTTTAAAATTACTTTACTTTCCATTCGTCCAGGAACCGCTTTAATATGAATTAAGAAAAATTAAATCCCATTCAACTAATAACCCGTCCCTTCTGTTTACATCATACCCATAGATAATAGATACACAAAGGGTAATAGATGGTCAACTCGAAACGCGCCGATTTGCGCGCCCTCCGGCAGGTTTAGTCACAACTAAATAAAAAAGGCGCGCACTTTAAATGTGCTAGTTATTTACTGTTTTTCGTAATGTGCAAGTTAAAGTGAAAAATGGATAAGAAACAATGTAATTTCCTTTTTTATAAAAGAAAACACATTGTTTCTTTGTAAAAAAGGAAATACATTGTTACTTGTCCATTTTTCACCTTAACATAAAAACTTGCGAATTTATAAGTGTAAAAGTAATAATAAGTGAAAGAATAGTAAAAGAAATTTATTGAATGTAACAAATAAACTTGTACAAAATAAATTATTATGTAACTTCAACAGACAATCGGCCAAATAGAAAAGGCCACAAAATAGAAGAAACAGTAATACAGTTTAACTTAATAGTAACATTAAATTTTTAACAACTTTCAGTAGATAACTAAAACCTTTCAATAATGTACTATAAACATTTTCAACACAATTTTAATTAAATATTACTAAGATAATTATTAATGAAGGTAAAAAATCGTTAAGTTGTGGCAACTTACGTGTTCAGATAGAAATTGATGCAGAACACTGAATATTGAAGAAAAGGGGTTGTAAACAATTCCAAATTAGTGGGTAGTAGAATATGGTTATTCTGTCCACCTGAGAACACCAGCAAAAGTCACTGCATCGTTTCTTTTTTTTTT